ATCTCTCCTCCCTAATCCCATTTTCTCTGAATCACCTCTATAAAAGCCCCCTCTTCATACTGATGGGCAAAATCACAGCCTTTGGGACAGGAGTCTCCTTCTCCTTTGCTAGCAAAGCAGTAAATCTTCTTTCTCCTTTTTCTCAAACCCATGACCTTGTTATTGAATTAGCGTCAGGGACAAGGACTGAGCTTTCAGCAACAAAAACATGTAAGTTTCAAAGGTACAAGGGATATAGTCAAAGCATCAGGTGAACCTCTGTTAAGAATGGGTGTGACTTCATCCCTCATTTCCATAAGCATACCTGAGTGAGAACTTAGGCAGGAAGTTCCTCTAAGTTAGCCTCTGTTTGTTCCTTCAAAATCCTCTTTCATTTTGTACTGAAGGCTGTGACTTCCTCAGTTTATAAACTGTCTTTTTCTTTTTAAAATAAAGCCTCATCTTTTCTCTTGAAAATTTTTAGTGAATTTTGATTGACACAAAGAAAATGGACTAAGATATTACCAAAGAGATGTTCTACAATTTGAAACACCTACACGATTACCCCTTCAATAAAATTCAGTCTTTAAACTAACCATAATTGGTACTTTTAAAAAAGCATATATATATATAGAAAAACATTGCTAACAAAGGTATTAACTAGGATAATAATATATCTTTAATTTGAGCTCACAAAATCTCTCCTTTTCTGCTTTATTTGTAAGTCTTAGGCACTTACTCTAATTGGCCTCTTTCCAGGACCTGCTTATTCTAAAAGCACAAGGATTTGGTTGTGAAGGAAATACACATACTTAAAATCTTTCCAAGCTCTTCTCCCCCAAGGCATTTTGCTAATGTGTACCAGAACAATCTTGAAAGGGAAAAAAAAAAAAGTAAAAAGAAAGAAATTCTTTGTGAAAAGAAGAGTCTGCCTCTGGGCACTTCTAGCACAACTGCCTCATGTTAATCTGCAACCTAGTTAAGAGAACAGGAAATAACATTTACTGTGTGCTGTGCTTTCTATAGTAACAGCCAGCATTCATTTGAACATTTACTATGTGCCAAGTACTATGCTAAGTTATTTCTATAGAAAAATCTCATTTATTCATCACAACTACCCAATAAGGTCAGAATCATTTATAGAAATATCATCTTTATCATGGAAACCGAGGCTTAAAGAGGTGGAGCAGCTTGCTCAGCATCACACAACAAATAAGTGGTTGAACTGGAATTTGAATCGGTGAAGTCTGTCCCCAGGGCCCTCGCTGGATTAAACCACACTGATTTAATTCATGTAAACCCCCTATGAAGTATAATTTTTTTACCTGTCTTGCATAGATACGAAATCTAGTTTAGAATAGCTAATTGGCCGAAGGTTGAAGCTATAAAGTGATGGAGCTGAGGCTCGTCCTGGTGCTTCTGTACCCTCAAGCTCTTGTTCTTTCCATTAAACACATAGTCTATTAGCTGCTCTCAGTCCCCAAGGCCACTTTAAACAGAAGGGAAATTGAATTGATGCACAGCAAGAGCAGTTTAATGGCAGTTTATCACTCCCACTAACCCTTTACTTCTAGGAAGGCTGTGGGATCTGATAGACCTCTGCAGGGGTTTTTTGCCCCTCCTGCAAGTCTCTTGAATGGCACATGACACAAATAAGCTAATCAAGGTTCATTTGCTGGAAAGGATGAAAGTATCTAGTACATACTGTTAGGTACTTCCATGCTGTCTGACACCTATAGGAACAACGAACCAACAGGTGTGAGGGTCCAGATGAAAGAACAGAGAACATGTGATAATACATTTACAAAAGTTTTATGGGATACTTGAGAGCTCCATCTCTTAAGAATTTATTTATTTTTTCTCTCACCAAAAGCAATTCCAATGATCTACAATTTAGGACCTCCCCTCCGCCGCCTTTTTAACGCTTTTCGAAGTTCTTGCAAATTTAGTTATGATTCATTTCTCTCCAAAGCAAAATGTGATGCCAAAATTTAGAGGGAATATAAAAAATATTTCATTTTTATCTTATATCATACATATATTATATATTATCTTAGAATATATGTATGTATATGAATATATATATATATTTCATTTTTATCTTAGATTGAATGCTTGTGTGACTATTAGGAGAAAAGAATAGTGATAATCATTTGAAATTTATCATTATTATTGGTCAAGGAACTGGTCAACAAATAACTAAGGAAAATTTGTGTTCTGTAAGTTTTGAAAATATGCTATGGTAATACTTTTTAATATAAGCAACTTGTTTGGTAATGCAAATAATCAATGCTAATTTGTTTTATATAGAGATTGGGGGAATCCTGTAAACAGGGGATGTGATTAAAATATCTTAGCTGCTGCTCAGAACATTTTAAGGCACATTTAGAAGGGAACCAGCACAGCCCAAGTAGCTTTTGTTTCAGACTAAGATTTAAAGACCAAGAAGAGGAAGTTGAGCAAGTCTGTTGACTGCCCATTCTAGATTGGAAAAGAGAGCACAGGAACAGGGTCCTGCAGAGCTGGCAGCTCAGCTTCCTTTCCTTTCTTTCTGCTTACCAAGGACACCCAAAGACTGACACCATGCTGAAAGCTCAGAACTCAGAAGGGCATCAAGAACTTTCCTTTGAAGGAATAAGAGGACAGTGACCATGCCTTTATCAGAAGCTGCTGTAAGGAAATGCCCTCTTCCGTCACATGTCACCTAAGCCATTAGTTTCCAATTGCTTTCCTCTGAAAGATTCCAGTGTTCTTTTTGTCAAAAGCTCAGTCCTTGTCCCTAATGCCAATCCAATAATGAGGACAAAGTTTTGAGAAAAAGGAAAAAGAAGGTTCATTGCTTTGCTAGCAAAGGAGAAACACAGGGAACTCCTGTCCCAAAGACTGTGATTCTGCCCATCAGTAGGAACAGGGGGCTTTTAAAGAGGTGATTCAAAAGCTACATTCCACATGCTCTCTACTGGAGTTGTAATTCACTTGTGATTTGGGAGATAGTCATTTCTGAGATCTTCTGGTACCATCCCCAAAGTCTTGATTACTTCCTTCCTGTGGTGGATGTGTACTCAGGGACACATAAATCTGCCTAAAATGGGGAAAAAGGTAATCTGGTTTCCCGAGATTAGGGAGGCAAAGAGATTAGGGAGGAACAGGAAAAGAGGAAGACAAAGAAACAAGTCTATTTTAAAAATAAGTTGTAGTGGCAGAGCAGCAAGGGCTGTATTCAAAGTATTAAGTGGACCACTGTTACATTCTCACTGAGAGAAAAGTTCCCTGTGGGGTAAGAGAGAAACAAACTTCTTTTTTTTCTAAAAAAAAAAAAAAAAATATTTATTTTTTAGTTGTAGTTGAACATGATATCTATATTCTATTTATTTATTTTATATGTGGTGCTGAGGATCGAATCCAGGGCCTTGCGTATGCTAGGCAAATGCTCCACCACTGAGCTACAGCCCCAGCCCCCAGCCAAAGACCACTTTTTACTAGCATTCCACTGTCACCTGGTAACAGTGATGCACTTTATACTTTGAATACAGCCCTTGCTGCTCTGCCACTGCAATTTAGTTTTAAAATGCACATGTTTCTTTGTCTTTTTCTCTCTCCTGGCTCCTCCCTAATCTCAGGGGAAACAGGAACACTTTTCTTTCCCATTTTAGACATTGTGGGTCAGAAAGGTGCTTTTAATCATTCAAGATGGTTCTTCTTGTAGCAACACTTTGGTTTTTTACTGACTTTTTTGTTTACTGTCCCCTTCTCATTTTTTTAGATCTTCAAGTTCCTGCTCTTAAAACTGCAGAAACACACTTGATGCTTTCTCCAGCCTCTTTTTTTCTCCTTGGCTTTCTTCCCTGATTCTGCCAATCATTGTTTTTTTTTTTTCTACAGTGCAGATGGGACCTTGAAGTGTCTTCCCAGAAGCTCTTTCCCACATGGGGAGAGGGCTAAAGCTCCACCCTCAGTGAGAATGGTCAGTGATTGGATTCAGGGTCAGGAAGTCAGATTGCTGGAACAGAGAAGGTGGGAACACCAAGTGCAAAGTTGGAAATAACAGGGAAGTTCAAACTCACTGGAGTCCACACAGGTGCCAAGATAAATTAGTGCTCCAAACTATGTAGCCACAAACAAGAGGGAGGCTTGTGCTAGCAGTTATATGGAGCTTCAGAGAAATCCTGAACTCCAGCTGGTTGGGCCAGAAGGGCTTTGGGGCTAGATGCCAAAACTCTGGATCTACCACTGATTCTCAGAGTGATTGGTGCCCTGCTGGGATAGAAGAGGCTGTCAATTCTGAGCCTTCCTGCGGATACTTGCCCTTTTTCTGTGTGTTACAGCGTATGTGGCTTATCATCTCACCTTTGACCACGGTTTTGCCCTTCTTTATCTTCCTTGATTATCTCTCTTTATCCTCACTCCTGTTTTTCTCTGGAGATTCTCCTCCTTAGGGAATCTCTACCTTCTTGACTCACTGTTTTGATGCCCCTGAAAACATCACCTCTAACCCTGTTATGCACCTACATTCTCATTCTCTGGCTTGAACAGTCTCCTGGACTATTCTTACCAAGCATTCCATTGTTAACCTTGGAACAGTGGTGCACTTTATACTTTGAAAACAGCCCTTGCTGCTCTGCCACTAACTTATTTTCAAAATAGACATGTTTCTTTGTCTTCCTCTCTCCTGGCTCCTCCCTAATCTCTCCCCCTCCCTCAGGGGAAACAGGATTACCTTTCTTTCCCATTTTAGCAGATTTATCTGTCCTTAAGTACACATCCACCACAGGAAGGAAGTAATCTAGACTTTGGGGATGGTACCAGAAGATCTCAGAAATGACTATCTTCCAAATCACAAGTGAATTACAATTCCAGTAGAGAGCATGTGGAATGTAGCTTTTGAATCACCTCTTTAAAAGCCCCCTGTTCCTACTGATGGGCAGAATCACAGTCTTTGGGACAGGAGTTCCCTGTGTTTCTCCTTTGCTAACAAAGCAATGAACCTTCTTTTTCCTTTTTCTCAAAACCATGTCCTTGTTTTTAGATTTGCATCAAGAATGTCAGATCAGGCAGCAACGAAAGAAGGCAGATTTAAAAGGGCTGCTGAACACGCTTTATTGAGATATCACTCCCAGGCGGAACTCATTGGACCCACAGAGTGAACAGGAGAACGGTCTGAGGAGAAACCGCGTGGAAGCTCGACTGGACTGGACTTTTATGGGGCTTACAGCAGGAAGAGAAGGGCTTGAGACAGGAAAAGGTGTTTCTAGGGTCCCTTGCCCCTTTGGAGTTTGTCAGGGGAGTTGGCTGAACTCCAGGATTGGCCAGGGGGTCCTGCTGATTGACAGGTGTTAGTCAGGAGATCTGGCTGATTGACAGGCGTTTCCGATGGCATCTGATTGATGCTCCTTTCCCGCTCGGGCTGCTTTGTTCTAAGTCGCCACCACCAACCTAACTAGGAGCAAGAACCAAGCTTTCAGCAAAAACTTTATCAGGCTCACCAAGGACAGTCACTCACACAACACAGGTTATAGCAAGGGTGCCACCATCAAACTGATATATGGAACCCCCTCCATTTTCCCTTTCTCTTAATTCAGGGGATGTGGTTTTTCTAGTCCAAACTCTGGGGCCTTGTGGTCCTTCAAAGGGCTGCATTTCTCACAATACAATCATTAGAGTAGAATCAGCACTTAAGGGATTCTAACTGCCAGGGAACTATTGGACACTGGGAATCACTTAACCTGGAGGAGGAAGAGCAGGGCCATAAGTCTGAGTGCTATGGGCATGGTCAAGGACATCTACCCAGCAACGCCAACTCACTGACTCAGTAGGAGCACTTTATGTCTTTGGCCTCTGTTTCTTGAACTAACTCATTTGGGGCATTCTAAGATATACCAGATTTCATTTATATGAAAATCCCCAAGCCTGTTTTTGTTTTGTTTTGTTTTTGTCTAACATAGGACTTTGACATATTAAAATAGGACTGGATAAACCAAAGTAGAATCATACCATGGTTGCATAATATTTTACCAATTCTCTGTTTTAAAACATGTTTCAACACATTTTGTAGCAAAACCCAGGGTGGTACACAGGTGAGACGCATCAGGAGAGTTGATGTTTTCTGGCATATTCTATCAAGTTACTACCATACATTCCTGCTTCACAACATCTCTCAGCCATTCTGGCAGGGCACAGTCCTTCCCTCAATTACGTCATAGCACCGAGTCCTAGCAGGCAAGTCTATTCCTTCAGATGCCACAAACCTCCTCTCCTGTCCCACTAGCACGTCCATCTTTGGCTAGCACCTTACCTCACAGCAAGACTCTTTAGTCAGTTCCAATAATATTTATTTAGTGCATGCCATGTATTAGGCTAAATGTTGAGGGAATATGGAAAAGACCCAAATAGACCCCCAGATCAGAGATGCTTATGGAGACTTACAAACAACCAAGTACATAAGGTGTGGTGAGCAGAACAATGGTTCCTGAAAGATATCTACATCCTCATCCCCAGAACGACTGTTACTTTACTGAGCAAAAGAGACTTTGCAGATGTAATTACATTAGAGAACTTGAGATGGTGAAATTATCTGGAATATTCTGAGTGGACTCAATATAATTATCACAGGAGCCTTATAAAAGGGAGGCTGAAGGATCTGAGTCAGAGAAGGAGTTGTGATAACAGAAACAGAAGTCAAACTGATAAGAGGAAACAAACCAAAGAATGCAGACCAACTCTAAAAGGTGGAAAAGACAGGGAAACCAGTTCTTCCCCAAAGCCTTTAATAAGGGGCCATCTTGTTGATCCTATTTGAACTTTTGACCTCCAGGACTTTAAGATGATGTATTTATGTTGTTTTAAATCACTGAATTTGTAACATCAGCACTAGGAAACTAATACATAGAATAACACATAACAGAACATTTGCTACAACAGAAGACAACCAATACAACTTGTGTTTTTAAAAAGGATATGGGAGTACAGAAAGGGTGCCATCCATCTGCCGGTGTTATAGGAAACTTCCAGGTATTAGTAGCTTTCACAGATTTCTCTTTATATTCCAACCCAGTTATTTACCAGCCTCCTGGAATCTCTACAAGAGTACCACAAAGCTCCTTCAGCCTCAATATGTTCAATGCCTTGGATTTTTATTCCTAAATCTGTTCTTCCTTTGGTGTCCCCTCAGCTGATGATAGCATCACTGATCCCTCTGCGCAGGCCAGAAGCAGGGATTCTCCATGCACAGGACCCCATTTCTACAAAACAATGTTTTTCACAATAGTTGGACATGTCTAGTACTCAAAATAAATTCATGATGATCATGCTTTCTTTTTTCATAGAGTGATGATTTATTTCAAGCTAAAATTCATTTTAAAAGAGCTACCACAATTATTTCCAGATTACAGTTTTTTAAATTCTTGAGATAAGAGTATCTACTTGAGCAAGCTACAATAGAAAGAAAGTCTGTTTTAGATGAGAGACCCTAAAATAATAAATGCAAAAATCATTTAAAAACATAATAGAACAAGTTTGATTTTGGCTATCCAGACACAAAGATCCTCAATCAATGATTAAAAACCCATGCTTCATTCAGAGCATATTATACTTAAACTAATGTTTGCCTGCTTATTACTACTATGCAATGTACTACAACACTATACCACAGAAGTTTGTAGTTCTTAAAAGGGCAATAGTCCCCCTTTGTCCACAGGAGATGTGTTCAAAGACCCCCAGTGGATGCTGGAAATTGCAATTAGTACCAAATTCTATATATATAGTTTTTCCTGTACATATAATATCTATAATAAAGTCTAATGTATAAATTAGAAGCAGTAAGAGGTTAACAACAATAGATAATAATAAAATTATAGAATTATAAAATTATTAGAATTACAAAAATATAATGTAATAAAAGTTATGTGATTGTAGACTTTCTTCCTCTCTCAAAGTATCTTGTACTTTCCCTTTTTCAAAGAAAGCACTTACAACTTTTCTTTGGCATATCTGAATTGCTACCATTACTATTCTTGCAATTCAGGACCCTTATGAAGTGAAATAAAGGTTATTTAATGCAAGTACCACAGCAGTGGATCTGATAACCAACTAAATGACTAACAGTGGGCTCTGGGTGCAGTGAACTGAGTTGACCCATGTCTTTGGAAGGACAGAATGTGATATCCAAACTGAGAAAGGTTTGTGAATTTGATATCAGGACCTTTCTGAGAAGAGGATGAAGGTATTACAGTTCTACAAACTGTCCTTGGAAATAAAAGATTACAAGAATAAGAGACATGTTAGCAGAAATGTTTATGTGAATATTGTATCCTGAATTGTATAGATTGGTGACTTTGCAAAAGATGGAAGTCAACATTAGAAAGAAATTTATGGCTTACTGAATTATTTTTATACCAATAGAAATTACTTTGGAAGTCTTTAATACATTTAAATTATTCTGTCTGCTATTTCTAATTACAGGCTTCAAAGGTTTGCAATTCAAATGCTGTAAGCTTTGATGTATGATTACTGATATAAGCCAAGGACTTGACACTTCTTATAAAGTAATGAAATGCTACAACATTTGTGCCTTTAAAAAAGCCTCAGAATATTCTTGTTATTATCTCTAATACCCGGTCTTTACATTTTGCATTATAAGTGGGATTAAGGACTTGTGTATTATTTTCTTTCCTCCCTCCCCAGAAACACATACTATCATGAATTTGATAGTTAATATCTCTGCTATAGTTTAGATATTAAAGTATCACCCAAGGCCCATGTGTTGAAAGAGTGTTAAAGGATTGGCCCATGGCACTACTGGTAAGTATTGGAACCTTTAGGAAGTGGGGTCTAGTGGAAGGGCAGTATTATCCTTGAAGGGAATATTAGAACCCTACCCCTTCCCCCATGTCTGCGTCTCTGTCTTTCTGTCTGTCTCCCTGACTCTCTCTCTCTCCTTCTTCTTTGCCATGAAGTGAACAGACCTTCTCTGCCACACATTTTTTGCCATTTGTACATGATGTGTTGTCACAAGGGCAAGAAACCATGGACTGAAACCTCTGAAACCTATACTTGTCTTATATCCATCATCCTCTTCAGACTCTTTAATTTATGTATCAATTTGTAGATTCTACTTTCTGCAAATAATACACGCTTCCCTTCCCAATCCTTACACTGTGTTTCACCAAGTTTAAGATATTTTAATTTTAGAAATGTTTAAATGTGAAAAAATTAACTATGAAAATGTTGTTAATTTTTCTTCTCCTATTTCGCCATCTAGCACTCCAGAAGTGGAGATTTTTGGCATCCTGGCCTTATTTAGTTTAGAGGATTTTTCTGAAGTTTCTAAATTTCAACCTGGATGAGAAAATTCTCTTCCAATGCTAAACATTTTATGTAAACTCTTTTATGTTTAGTTTTATTAAACAATTTTAAATTAAAAATTTTATTAAACAATCTTTCTCCATCTCTTCAGATAATCTTGTATTTTTCCCCTTTAGATTTTTAATGTGACTGATCACATCACAGCTTTCCTAAAATAAAGCCAATCATATGGGAGTAGTTGGCCAATATTTTATTTAGATATTTACATCTGTGCTGTTAAGTGAGACTGGCCTATACTAGCTTTCTTTCATTCTTACATTGTTAGCTGGGTTATTCTGGCCTAGTGCATTGAATTGGGAGCAGTTCTCTCTGTTTTCATTGTCTTTCATCACCTCTTCCTTGAAGATTTGAATAGAATATGCCTTTAAGAGTATTGGAGTCTATTGGATCTCCTCTGTGGTTTTTCCCTCACCTTTGTTTTATCTCCTCTAACATCGCCTTTCAATCTTTCTCTTGGGCATGGTGACAGTGGTGGCAAGACATAGGTTCTGGACACAGGGATGCAACAGCACAGGGTTTTGGTGAATCTGGGGTCATTTTTACCTCTCTTTCCTTTTCTTCTAAAATAGGTATTTCAAGCTGTAAATTTCCTAAGGGAAATACTTTTGCTTTCCAAAGTATGTATTTCTGTTTTTCATATGTGTATTTTCTTTTTCTGGACATTAATTATTTTTTTTTTTTTTATTTAATTTTTTTTTTTAATTTATTGATTCTGGGACTCAAACCCAGGGTCTTAGACATTCTAGGAAAACACATTACTACTGAGCCATGATCCCAGGTAGACATGCATTATTTTCACAATATACAAAATAAATTATTGTATATAAGAGATTAGAAACCTGACAGATAATTTCTTCCTTACACTTGGAAGTATTTTCTTTTCACCTTAAGCCAAATGAAAAGGATTTAAAACCACTCAGAGATCTGGATTTTGTGGAGACAAGAGACTAATTTCAGAAGCATCACTGGAAAATACTAAATATTTAGTGTTCACTGTGACTAGATTGTTATAGTGGGAATGGAGTTTGTTGGGGAAAAGATACTTGTGTTGCTTTTCTGAGGGCCAGAGGTAACCACAAGGAGAGACAACCTTACCTGGAGCGGGCTGTGATCCTAACAGGATTAGGCCACTGGAGTCCCAGGGTTGAGAAAGAACCCTGAGCAGAGTGGAATGCATCCCCTGAATCAGGGGAAATATGGGACCTCAATAGACCCACAAAGATACTCCAAGAGAAATATCAGTTTTAAACTTTTTCCACTTGGAGGAACCAGTGCCAGGTCACACTGCTGCCGAACAGGGAGAACTTTTCCTTGTCTTACCCTTACCTCCCCCTGGTTCCTTTGCAAGGATCCAGGAGAGATTCACGAGCAAAGGCTGTAACAGAAACATATTCAGAAGCCAGCCATGCCCTCTGTTCCCACTGTGTCCTCCTATGGTAGCCTGATCTGGGGAAGAGAGGCTCTGATGAAGTTTAAGTTCTATTATATAGGACTACATTGTTTATTTATATAAATGAAGCTATTCTTAAGACTATAGTGACCAAAGGACTTTTATCTTCCATGAGTGAGCAGCTAAACTATGTGACCTGACTAAAACTTTACTGAGGATGTAATGCCGGATTTGGAGGGACCCGGAAAGACCACCAGGAGCCAAATCTGATGCAATCGCACAAGATTCTTTATTGCAAGCTGGAGCCTGGACTCACAACCGGTCCAATGCAGTGGTCCCAGGGAGTGAGCCCTGGTCCTTTGTTCAGTGAGATTTTATAGGTTTTGGGGGATACTCTATGTGTCATAACATTACACAGCAAATCATTTCATACCACGGGAAAAATCAAACAACAACTCTTAACATTGATTAGCACATTCACTGGTGGGAACAAGTTGGGTAGGGGTGATTGGTTAGTACAAGAGGGGGATTCATTTGAACTGATTGGTTTAATCCGTGAGGGGTATACGCGCTTAACTACGTGGTTTCCTATCATGTTATCAATCACCCAATCACCGAGACTATTGGGGGAGGTCATCTGGCATCCCAGGTATTGTCCCTGTCTCACGCTGATTGGTGGTTGCTAGGGAGTTGCTATGAGTCCTAGCGAGTCAGGGACACCTGGTGCAGTAGATCATCTCAGCAGGGTGGCTAAGTGCCTAGGAGTGCTCTGTGGGTTTTTCCAAGGACAAGGGTCACACCTGCTCCCTTTAGACAGGCCTTGAGGTTGAAGCTGGGTTTTCAAAAATGGAGTTAAATCAGTTTCTCAAGGAGAAGGAGAAGGGCTCAGCAGGTTGAAGAGGCTGCGACTAGGAAGAATTAGGTGTTTTCTGATTTGTGTCCAGAGTCCTGCTCATTCAGTGAAATGGTTGCAGTAGTTTAGTTTGACACAGACAGCAAAAACAGAAACCATGGGAAATACTGCCTTAAAGGTAGTAATGCTATATACATTTATTCTGGAAGCCACAAGAGGCATTCAAGATGGGGTGAAGACAGTAAAGTTCAAGAGTTTTGGGCTAATGTGGAGATAAACTACAGGGAGCATAGAAGAGAAAATGTACAGCAGTCCCCTCCACCGGTATATTTTTCTGCCAGATGCCCCAACTTCCAAGTTTCCAGGACACACTTATAACCACTGTACTAATGTAGCCAGACTATAATCCAAAGAATATATTGAGGTTATTTTCTATGAATAGTGGCAAAATAATTTTCTCTATCCTTAGCTAGGTTTGTGTTTGACTTAAAGTCCACAGCAGGGTTGGGGTTGTGGCTCAGTCGTGGAGTGCTTGCCTAGCTCATGTAAGGCCCTGGATTTGATCCTCAACACCATATAAGAAGATAAATAAATTTAAAAAGGTATTGTGTCCATCTACAATTTAAAAATCTATTTTTAAAAAAGTCCACAGCAGAACTGCAGTTTTTGTCAAAATTTGACACTTCATTGTTTAAGAGATATGTATATGTGTGGGTATCATAAAGCAATGCAAAAAAAGATTAATTCAAAAGGTAGTTCAGTTGTCACCTCTGGGAAAAGAGAAGGGTCTGATATGGGGAGGGGCAATGCCATAGATGCAGTGGGTTTAGGTGAAATTAATGGATAAAAAAAAAGTTTTAAATATAATACATAATAGAATCAAGGCCCAAGGGAAAGACTTAATCTTTGAGATTACCAGAGAGACTTTATCTTTTAGAAACAGTGATAAAAGGGTGTATTTAAAGATCGTGAATATAAGGAGAAAATATAAGAATTCACATCAATCATTTCAGTAAAGTAGAATAAAGGTCATTTGCTAAGAGTCTAGGAAAACAGTGAGGCCTGTGTGTAGCTCCAGTGTCTGGAACATGATTGTTGCTCAATAAATTTGTGTTGAATGAATGCTGAGTGAGGGAAAAAATTGGAATAAACACTGTAGGTCATTTGCTAGGAAGTAAACTATGAAAGAATATCAGAATAAAAGAATACTTGGATG